CCGCTGATGGGGGACGCCAAAGGGGGCAATTTTCCAGGGGCCCAGTGGTTCAGAAGTCCCCAGGGTCCAGCCACCGGAGCGGTGCTGTGGCATTCCAGGCGGATCTTAGAGCGGTGCGGGGAGACGGGGGTGCTGTGCAGCCGTGCTCCAGACAGAACTGGGGGGGCGGGGCACCACTGAGGGATGGCTGCCCTTAGCCCCACCCCTTTTGCCTGAGGTCCCACCCCTTCTGGGAGCATGGAGCAGGTCCCTGCCTTGCCCAGGGGCCCAGCGTGGCTGTCAGCTCCCCAGTCCAACCCCACCGAACCCCTTCCCCCAGCCCTCTCCCAGCCTGGGCCAGGCCACTGCACGGACTCCCGCTGCTCCTGGTGAGCGGGGGGGCACCCTTGCTGCTGGCCGCAGGTCCCCCCCCAGTCTCCTGGGCCACACAGGGTCCCTCAAAGAATGGGGCCCAGGGGGGTGCCCCAAATTGTCCTATGACAGGATGGCTCTGGTTGTGCGAGCGTGAGAGCACGTGCGTGTGCAGAGCCAAGTCTGGGCTGAGACTTTTTTTTTTCAGGCAACAAGATGGAGATTTGGTGACACCAAAACTTTTCACAAATTCACGGAAGGTTCGCCAACTAGCTCCTTACAAAAATATTTAAAAATCCCCCTCCCCCCATGAAAATGTTTCATTTTGGGGGGGGAACCATGTGGCCGGCTTGGTTCGAAATGACGTGTCCTCTAAAAATGGCCTGCCGTTTATTTTGCTTTTAATTTCAAAGGCATCATCCTTGCCCAAAATCGGGACGACACATTTTCTTCCACCCAAAAGGAGATTTTCCCCAAGTTTTCAACTTGCCAAACAGTGAGAATGGTGCGTTCTCAGTCTGCCCCCCTTTTCGGACTTTCCAAAATCGCCCGTGAACCAAAGGCTCTGCCATTTGCGTGACTCCCTTAGGGGGCGCGCGGGTCAGTGAGCAAACGAGCGTGCGATGAGCGTGCCTGCAAGGGACCCTGCCTGCCCGCTTGTGAGCGAATGTGTCTCAGCATGTGCATGTGAGGCGTGCACTGGCGGCTGTGCAGCTGGGAAGGTGGCTAAATTAGTGAGTGTGACCGAGTGTCTGTCTGTCTGTCTGTCTGGCCCAGGAGCCAAAGGAGCGTTCTGTCCCCCCAGCACCTTGGCCAGCTACAAGGTGCGCAGTGTGTCGGGAGCTCAGGTTTCATCCTGGCACTTGTGCGCACACCCCTCCTCGTGCGTACACGAGGCAAGGCCGCCACCTGGAGGAGAGTGCAGGTGACAGCAGCTGACTTCCCAGTCTGGAGCTCCGGTCTCAAACTCAGTTGGCTGTTGCGCCGGGCCAGTCCTCAAATACTCCTAGTGAGTCAGGGGGCACCCCCCTCTGGCAAGGCTCCGGGGGGTGTCTCTGTGCGTTCTCCCCACCCCCGCATCTCTCCGCCTCGCCTGCCAGCCCGCGCACTGCCCTCCCTGTGTCCTCGGGTCGTCCCAAGGCCACGGCCCTCAGGGTGCGGGCTTGATGGAAGGGTTATGGGGGGCAGAGCAGGGGTGGGAAGAGGCAGGGTGGGGCGGAACAAAGGCTGCACTAGGGGGAGGGGTTCGGATGCCCCCGGGGCCGCAGGGCCAGCAGCCTGGCAGGGGCCGAACTGCAGAATTGCTCAGTGGCAGATGGGCCCGGGCCAGGAGTTCGAGGCCCCTGCTCTGTGTATCTCGTCCTCTCCTCTGCTGGGCAGGGGGTCCGAGGCCAGAGCGCGTCAGTCCCTTGATGGCCAGACCCACGCTGGCCAGGCCATGGGGGGGCCAGATCGGATCGGCGACAAGAGTCTCACTCACACACACTCAACATACAGACACATGCACAACACACACAGACACGCACACAACACTCAGAGACACACAACACAGACACGCACACAACACAGACACACACATGCACAACACGCAGACATATACCACAGACACGCACACAACACATACAGACACACGCAACACACACAACCCACAGACACACACAACATGCACACACTGACACACAACACAGACACACACACACACCTCTGGGAACTTGTGCCTGCAACAGTCATTTACTGCTGTGCAAAGTGGAAGTGAAACTGGTTCCCACGTGGGTCTGCGTGGCACACGCGTTGCACAGCTGCGAACGACCCACAGCAGAGCCATCAGCCTCGCCGCCCGTTCTCTCGCGCACACGTGGCGGGACGTGCCTCTTCGTGCCCCGTGTGGCAGGCGAGCAGCCAGCCCCGGTTGGGAAGGAGTTTCCAAAGGGCCAGAGTTTTGCCGGCCTGCCAGGTCACAGGAAATCAGCGCATGGGAGCCGGGCAGAACAAAGTGGGGGGGCAAGGTCTGAGGCTTTAGAGCTGTTCTCGGGAGTTGGCAGGGGGTGATCTCAAGCCCTAAAAATCATGAGCTGATGCAGGCTCTGAGTGACCGGGCAGAACCCATGCCCAGGTGTCTGGCCCCACGCGCAGGGTCTAGCTGCTCACCAGATTTGGGATCTGGAAGCAACTTTTCCCTGGGTCAGCTCGGATCCTCGGCAGCCTGGGGCCTGGCTCACTCGCTGGTTTGGACTAGTGCAAATGGTGAAAGCTCTCGCTGGAAGGTTTGAACCATGATGGGGGGGGTCAGTAACTCAGCCAGAGGCGAGGGGTCTGATGCAGGAGGGCAAGGGGCCGCACCCACACACGCAGGGGGCCAGACGAGTCGGGTCTCTTGGTCCCTTTTAAGTCTACGAGTCTGGGAGTTTCTTTTCTCGTTGCCTTTCGGGGTCGCGTCGTCCTGCTTTGCACGCGTGTGTGGGTGCGGCCCGCCAGGCGGGGTGCCGGGGAGCACGGGGGAGTCGGGGTACGTCCTTGACCCTCTCCCATCTCCTGCCCTAGGTCTGGTTTTCAAACCGAAGGGCCAAGTGGAGGCGAGAAGCTAAGCTGAAGCTGGAGACGGACCGTGCAGGTGACGGTCCATGTGCATCGCTTTGCACGCGTGTGTGGGTGCGGCCCGCCAGGCGGGGTGCCGGGGAGCACGGGGGAGTCGGGGTACGTCCTTGACCCTCTCCCATCTCCTGCCCTAGGTCTGGTTTTCAAACCGAAGGGCCAAGTGGAGGCGAGAAGCTAAGCTGAAGCTGGAGACGGACCGTGCAGGTGACGGTCCATGTGCATCGCTGGGCCGCGATGCTCCCATGGCAGCTTTGAAACTCGCGGCCGCTCGGTGCACCATCCTCTGTTCCCCAGCCAAAAGCTCTGGCCCTTGGCCAGCGGGC